TGTTTGGTGGGATGCGGATTCGAACCCGCGACCCTCAGATTGTGAGTCGAGCGCCTTATCCACCTGGCCATGCAGGGCACAAAAATATTCATTGATACTGAAAGCATTGAATTACATTAGAATACCCCTGCATAAAACATATCAAGTTCTTCATTCTGCTCATGTAACTGCTCATTAATTAAGCCTCTAAAAGATTCATTAATTCTGACACAATATTGAACAAATTATCCAATAAACTATGTCGTGGAATATGTTTAGACATAATTCTATTTAGGTATCTTGCTTAAAATGGTATTTCACACAAAGTACATGATATACTATACGTTGTTAGACTAAACAGGGTAGCATTTGATACTTACAGTTTTTCTGCTGAAAGTGGTGAAGTGGCTACAAAACATCCATCTTGTTCTATAACTGGTATGGAGTAGTCTGGCTTCTCGATTCTTTGGAGACAACTGGTGCAGGTTTGTCTGACTACAGGAAATGCCGGGGAGAACTGACTTTAGACCTGAAAATATAAGGTTTTATATATTTTTCTTTATATCCTAATGGCATCTCAAATAGCTTTTCATGTCCAGTCTACAAGTAGGTCCATTCATCGTCTAATTGGTTTAATTTTGTTGATTCAAAACCCAAAACTGGGCATTAATTGGTTGGAAGCTGTTAACTGGCTGCCTATCTCTCTCTTTTTTTGTTTATCAATTCACTTCTGTAGTTAGTGCATAAGCTTTCTGTAGCCTTCATCTCTGCAAAGGTTATGTATGTTTATATAGACAAGACGAACCGCTGGTATCTGCTTATGATGTGCAATAATATCGCAATAAATAACGCATCTTAGTCCACTTGTATATCGTACTTGAACAAAACATTCCATTATTTGGATAACCATCTGTACAAAACTATACGACTGTTGAAGTGCAGATCCTTTCTCCAATTGCCTTGCATGTATGGCATACATAGAAAGTCAATTTTCCTTACTTTGTAGTTTCTATAAAATGGCTCAAATACTTCACAACAGAATGTCACAATACTAAAACACGAATCTCACATTAACAGAGGAAAAATCAGAGAGGTCTTAATAATAAAATCAAACAATCTCACAATTAACAAACCCCCAGGCACATCTGTATATGTCTTCAATTTTTATCTCCCCAGACATTCCTAATCTTATGCATGTATTTCGCATAACATATTCCACATTTTTTTCTGTTCAGCCATAAATAAATAATCTGGAAAATCACGCGGATTGATAAATGCATCCATAAGTAACTACTGCCAATTGCAGAATTTAAATACATTGTTAGATTGTTGAATGTTGATTTTAATACCTTCTTTATCGTTACAACTTGTGTAATTGAGAATGATCGCACCAGTGATCAAAACGTGGTATATGTTCTAAAAAATAAGCTCCCTTACTGTAAAAGCTGTAACTTGTAAGAAAATAATACAAGATCAGTAAGTAAACTTAAAAATAATCTATACTTTAGCCCCCATTGTCCTAGACTATAGTTTTTCTAGAACTGTAGCTTAGCTACTGCTTTTTCAAATCTTTAATATAATATTTTATTTTTTAGAACTATACATTAGCCATTGTTGTCTATAACTATACTTTAATCTTTGTTGCCGTGACACAATATTTTAGCCATTGTTGTTCTAGAACTGTACATTAGACGTATTTGTTCTAGATCTATACTTTAAATTTTGTTGCCCTGACACAATATTTTAGCCATTGTTGTTCTAGAACTGTACATTAGACGTATTTGTTCTAGATCTATACTTTAATCTTTGTTGCCGTGACACAATATTTTAGCCATTGTTGTTCTAGAACTATATATTAGACGTATTTGTTCTAGACCTATACTCTAAACTTTGTTGTTGTTGAATTACTCTTCAGTCACTTTTGTTCTAAATCTATACATTAGGCACTGTTGTAGTTGAAGTATAGATTATCCCTTGTTTTAAAACTATCTTTTACTTATTATTGTACTATAACCTTTGACTTACATTTTTGGAATATATCAGCTTATGAAATGATAATTTATTTAGTAAAAGTATCGCATCTTCCTTATTGTTTTTTATATATTATTTATTTATATGAATTATTTAATATTTCTTTCTAATCATAGCCTACGACCTAATGGATAATCATATTTTTAGGATACTTTGGACATTTCGTTAAGAAAAATTTTATTCTAAATATACATGTATTTATTGATATAATAGTTGTTTTCACTATTTGGGAAATGTACAGTTAAAAACTGTGTTCATAGACATAAAACTTATATATTGTATATATCATTTGAAGAAATATTAAAATCACACACTTTTCAAAGCAAACTTTAAAAAATCTCACAAGAAAAGTGTAAAGTAAAATTTTCAAAATCTACTCCTTACTGTGATAAAGGACTGTCCAAACTATGATAAACAAAACTTGGTTTCAGACTGTTCAAATTATGATAAGAGTTTAATGGTATATTTTTCCAACAGATGGCGGTAAGAAGCTTCCGCTTACAAACTCATTACGAGTGTTAATTGCATTTTATTGGATTTTTGTTGTTACCATCATGGCCGGATTTAGCGGAAGTTTAAAGTCCTACATGAACGTTCCTGAAAGGGAGCTACCAATAAATACCATCCCAGAGCTGCTCAAGAGAATGGAAGAAAACGAGATAATGGTTGGGACAATTTACGGAACTGTACCGTATGCAAACTTTATGGTAAGAACGTGCTCAATCTTGTTCTATTGTCGCGTGCAATGACAAAGTTCTTAACAATCTATACACATACGTTCACACACTTAAAAGTATGCACACATTTAGTATGTAAACTATTTAGTATAATATTGTTACGTCAGCGAGGTTACGTGACTAGTGTCACGCCACGTTCTAGAACTATCCCGTTCTTTCGGGAGTGCTCTAT